TTTAAAATAACCATAGACAATATCGTGGTTTACTTATAACAAGTGCATTGCATAGGTTCGAGCTTGCACTATTTGACAGTCACATTTTTTGCAGTAACACTCATTTATAAACCTCTGAATTGCTCTTCATTATTTACTATTCCATCATTTTATTCATTTATTGACTGTCAGTTGTATCGAATCTATTGGCTAAGCAAAAATGAAATCCTAATGTGGGTTCCAATATTAAGGATATGGTATATATAAGAATTGTGGGCAATGGTGACATTAGAAATTTGCCCTGAAATACTCATGTCAGTTACTAAAGATAGGAGATTGAACGGTTTTTGTTTCATTTCTAGTGTGAAAGGGTTAGAGGTGGAAAAAGAATGTCTTGTAAGCAATAATGCATCAGGTTTAGTTGTAAAGTTTATATTTTGGCATGATACCACTGAACCAGCTTCTGACTGTTTAGGTCTATACCTAAACTAGAAATAGCTTTGAGAATTCTCTAACTCATTTTTTCTCTTCCAGCTACATTTTCTTGTGTGTTTCAGAATCAAGAACCTTCCCTTCTGCCCTCAAGTTCTCTGTCTAAACATCTTCCTAGTAAATCTTCCATTTGTACCAAAGTATGAGTAGAACTCCTTGAATACCTGTCTCCTTTCCACCTCCTGAACCTTGGGTACTGCTTTCTGGTCTATCTTCCTTTGATATCAAGTTAGACCATTTCATTAGTCCAGTTCTTTCAACTGGGAACTCTCTCTGTTTCCATAATAGCGTGGGGCAGTAGGGTAGGAGGCATGCAAGGCAGGCTGGTGCCCCAGTCACAGCTAAAGTAGGCCTACCTCCAGCTAGAACATGGGCTGGGTTTCTATATAGAATCACCAAATGGTGGCTTTGGACCCTACTGAGGTCAGGGTACTGGACAAATAAGCATCCAGGATGGAAGAAGTGATGAAGATGAAGACAGAGAGTTAAGGTGGTGGGGAGATAGGCTTAGTTTAGACTCAAGGATGTGAGGAAGAAGAGGTCAGCTACAAACAGAAGAAGCTGCACGTGACTGTCATTGTATTCTGAATTCAAAACCAGAAACACCAGTAACAATGCAACTAAGCGGGGGGAGGGGCAGAGAGAGAGGGAGAAAGAATCTCAAGCTGATTTCCTCCCCTCCCCCCAGCTGAGCAAGGAGCCTGTCATGGGGCTCCGTCTCATGACCCCAAGATCATGACCTGAGCCGAAATCAAGAGTAAGATGCTTAACTGCCTGAGCCTGGCCTGAGCCACCCAGGCGCCCCTCAAAGCAGATTTTTAAAAAGACTTGTGAAGGCTGTGGCTTGACTTATAATGAAGCCAAGTTAATTATTTTCTTATGTCTCAGGTCTGACTAACCCAGGGCCAGGACTCGGCCAAAAACACTCGACCCCCAACACTGGCTACCTCTCTCAAAAGGCTCTGTTTAAATCAAGACGGATCTCTTCCTGTTATTTCAAAGCACATGTTCTTTTGGCAGAGGGTTAGTAATTTCATGCTGTCTTAGAAAATCCACGACGTTACTGGAGGATTTACTCTGAGCTAGTGTGTGAGCTTCATGAGATTTGATTTTTAAATGCTAAGTACTTAAAAATACACGTTTTACTTCTTCTGTCTGAGATGAGGCTTTTAAGGAGTAATAGACCCCACAATAAAAGCCAGCGAGATTCCTGTTGTCAATAAAAAAGGGATTTGCGTGAAGTGCTGCTTTTTCTTAAGAAGCACTTGTGTAGAGCATCACTTAGCAACACACAAATCAGCTTTGACACCTTATTCATCTTTAATATTCAGGTTCAAATCAAGTCTTTCCAGTGATGGGACAGATGGAGTCTTTGAAACCAAGCAAGTGAAAGGTGTCACTTCGTAATTTCCATCTTTAGGTTGGCAGCCCCATCAGAATTTTCATTTTATAACATTTTGGAATCGAAATTTTTTTTCAATTCTCAGATCTAAATTCCTTAGCATGTCGTGTAGGGTCCGTCATGGGCTGGTTGCTACTTCTGTCGTAACCTCTGCTGCAGCCAAATCAAACAGCCCAGTTTCCCAAACATGCTGGGTTCTTTGATGGCACTATTCCTTCAAGCCCATGTTGTTTCTTTGCTTTGGGAAAACTCTTTGCTGGCTAAGTTCTGCTAATCTTTCTAGCTAATTTTGAATTCTCAGGGACCTTGTCTCTGATTCTTTCAGGTTGAATTAAGGGCAGATCTTGGTCATAGGGCGTTAATACTGGATTTTAGTTGTTTGCTTTTCTTATATGTAACTGGGAACTTTTGGGGGACAGGAATTCTGTCTTTTATCTGTATAGCCCTATCCTTTCTGTATGTTTCATTTATCTGAATTTCTTACTATCTGTGGCAGAAGTGAGTCTTCTCTCCCTGTGAAATAGTAGTTCTTTATTACTGAATTTTTGACCAGAGGCTCAAGGTAGTCATTTATGAATTTAACAGTTATCTTTTGAATTGTTCATACTGTGTCAAGGACTATGCTGTTTGTTTATTACTATTTTGGAAGGATGTAAGAGTCAACCGTCAGAGAAAGAGTTATACTAGGTGTACCATTAAGTGGAAAAAATCTGGAGGAATCAAAAATTAAAGCAAGGATTTCTGAAAGTGCAAGGTAGCAGGGAGGCTATACCATGGTTTTATGAAGGTTTTCACAAAGGAAGCAAAATTTAAGAGTTTCTTTATGAATACATATTTTTTTGGTTGGTATAGAAAAATTGAAAGTGACTCAGTGATTAGGGTAACCCCATCGATTTATATATCTTAAGCTCAGAAAATATACCTCAGTGGTTTGCTTCCAGAAAGTACCTTCTGCCATAATAGAAGGCAGATACTGCCACACTCCCTAGTGAACTGGTGTGTGTAGATTTCTGGAGTCTTTACTTTATTCATATCTTTAAAATTTCACTGGTTTTTGTTTTAAAATTTAATCCGTTTAAAAACATGCTGGAAATTTCTTAAAATAATTTAAATGAACTCCAATTTTAGAACAACGCTAGAAGTGTTAAGTTAGTCTTATATGTGGACAACATATTTTATATCTAGAGCCTCTATACCATATGTCTTGAAATAGGATCTAAAGGTATTCCTTTTTCCTTTTGTTTTATTTGGAAAATACTGAAAAGTGAGCAAAAATTAAAAGAAAAAAACACCTCTTATTTGAAAGTGGAGTAGGATATTATATTTAAAAAAAAAGAAAGCCTCCCAACCATCTAGTCCCATCCCAAACAGTAATCTTTTTTAAATTGACTTCTTTTAAAGGTATTTATAAATACTGTTGTTAAAACAATGTAGTGATATGCTGTCTGCTATCTTTTATAAAAGCAACTTTAAAGGTTCCTTTCCATACTAAAACTAGCTTTGTTCTGCTCTGATCTATCTATGACTATTTTTTTTTTTTTTACAAAAGCACATGAGGTACATTGTTTTAAAAAAGTCAAACAGCTAGACATGTAATAGAAAGTGAAAGTTTCCTTTTGTTGTTGGGAGTAACTGGTCAATATGTTGCTATATGTTCTAGATAACTGAACTTCGGGTTAAATTATAACTTCTTTTTATACAAAAAATGGGATCGTACTTTCCACTTTGTCACTTATATTTTTCATTCACGAACACTTTATTTCATAGCTGCTCTTCTTTATTACTACATGGAGGTCCATCCCAAGCTTTTTATTGGCTGTATAATATTTCACAGAATGGATCTACTGTTAATAAGCTGGTTGTCCATTAGGTATCTCCAGTTGTTTTTTTATTACAAATAATGCTGAAATAAGCATTTTTGTATCTTGTATACAAGTATATATCTATAGGGTGATACCCAGGTAGATGCACTTGGTTGGAGGCATTGCACATGTAAAATTTTGCTGTATAATTTAAAAGTTAATCTTTTCTTCAAGACTTTCAACAGTATTTAATCATAAACAAAAGTTCTGATTTGAGAGTAAACTCTTTTAAAAAGGAAAGGTGGATTCCTTTCTTGAGGGCCTAATGAGACAGTACAGTTCAGGGAGGATTTTTTGTCATTGTTTTTTTCCTCATGTTTTAGCCTGAATTTTATTTGGAAACTTTGAGAGAAAATACCCCTTGGTCTTTCTATTGCCTCAGAAAATAAATCTCTGTTCTTATTGGTAGCATCTCCTTGATAATGCTGTTATTTCCCTGGATGTTGATATTCCTTATGATGAGCCACAATTTTAGCTTAATTCTATTCTGTCCAGTATGATATAGAATAGAATGAAAACTATTTGATGGGTAATCTATCTTAAAAGAAATGCAGGAAGGTGACTCTATCAATAAAAATTTTAAACCCAGACTGTCATTTTGTTTACATATCTTAAGTTCTTTTCCTGTAACCTTGAAAACAGTTAAAATTGTGCCTTATTGAATAAAAGAAAACTTACAGATGAAGCATATTTTCTGGTTCTTAAAGGATAATCTAATTGAGGCTCTATACACCTTGCTTTTAAGTGGTAAGAGTAGGTTTTTAAAGTTGTGTGTTTTTTCATGCTGCCACACACAATTATGGATTTAGTAGTCTTTTAGGTACTCTCTCTGTTTGATTCAAGTTTCTTCACCTACATCTTTGAGTCCAGTTCACTCCAGCTGTCTTTATAGACGTATCAAATTGCTATTTGAGAAATACCTTACAGATTTCAAATTCATATGTAAAAGACAAATGGGCTCACAGTCTTTTTTGTGCTGTTGTTGTAAGCATCTAAGAACCTCAATAAGCAACTCATGTATAGTTATATAAACATATATTGGAAGATAGGTACTTGTGTTTCACATAGAACTTTAATATAATTTATCTAATTTAATTCATATAACTTAAACTTTAAGAAAATGACTTTTAAAAACAATTCTCAGATTTCATAGTCTTTCTGACTTGTAAAGGTTTATCTGCTAATCTCTTTATAAGATACTATATTTCCAAGGAGATGATAGTAATTTATTTTACAGATTATTTTGTTTTCTCTCCTTTTTACAGAAAACAGCCATCGTTATGGGTCCAAGGAGACATTTTCCGATCCAAGCTGAAAAATAGACCATCCAGTGAAGGAAGTATTAATAAAATTCTTTCTAGCTTGGATGATATGTCTATTGGTGGAAACTTATCTAAAATACAAAACGTGGAAAGATTTGGAGAGGTGAGTTTTCCTCAGGAAGATTTTCATGTCTCCTTAGGACTAACGTTCTGCATTTCTTTGTTTCCCAGCTGAACATTTATAACACAGCAATATCTCTTTTCTGAGATGCTGAAAGTACCAGTATTTTTAGGTGTAGAATCATCCACCTGTAAAACAAGAATCCATAGCAAAGAAAGAAATTATCCTTAAAAAAAAAAAGCTGTAATTTAAGGAGCACAATTATAAAGGAGGCCACTCTGGCTTGGAGAACATGTACAAAAAGGAAATAGAAGAGCAAATTTTCTATTTGAAGATGAAAGTAGATATAAAGAAGAAAGAATTAATGTGACAATTGAAGAAACAGTACATGCCACAAGTGGTTTTTTGAAAGTCTCAAATTCATACTGATTTCTAAAGTCCAGAGTTGAAAACATAATTAGGGACAACTTTTTTTTTTTTAAATTGAGGTTCTATTCTAAACAAACCACTTTAAACGGCTGACATCTATGGTCTCATTTAGTCTTTACAACTAGCTGGTGATAGGTAATATCAGCAATATTACGTAGGCAATATGATCTCTACTTTATAGTAAGGAGATTGAATGTCAGGGAAGTTCTAACCTTGGTGATTCCAATCCACATCCGATTCTGAATCTGTGTTTTTTCCGTTATACCGTGCTAACCTAAAAATGGAAGTGACTTACAACAGGTAGGATCATGGGCATTTTTGGAGCTGTAAGCAAGCTTGAAATCATTTGTTCTCCTTCCCCTCTTGTGCGGATCAGAAGCCGGAGGCCCCACTGAATCCCATGACTTGCTAAAGGTCATGGCGTTGTTTAGTAGTGGGACTACCTTGAGACTGGGAGTCTCCCTCCTGGTTTAGCTCTTTCTACCACAGTATGCCTGACGTGAAACTAAGCACTTGGTTTGTAGTTTTATTTTTATATCCCTGAAGTAGCAAAAGGAGCTGTTAAAAATATTTAAGCAGTGGGGAGCCTGGGTGGCTCAGTCGGTTAAGCGTCTGACTCTTGGTTTCAGCTCAGGTCATGATCTAGGGGTCGTGGGATGGAGCCCCATGTCAGGCTCCCTGCTCAGTGGGGATTCTGCTTGAAATTCTCTTCCTCTCCCCCCAACTCAAATAAATAAATAAATCTTAAAAAAACATTTAGGTAGCAAGTGTGGATTTGCATTCTATTAGGCGGTGACCCGTTGGACCTGGACAAGGGTCTTGAGCAAAATACTGTGGTTCAAGTTTGGCCCTCGGGGAACCCAAAATGGAACAAGTGGCATGCCAAACAGGTTTCTTTCACCAAGAAAGATAACCAGAGTGCTTGGCGATAGGGAGAGTGGGCTTTCTTCAAGGACACAGGATGAAGACTGCCCTAAGAACCAGTTTTTCAACCCTGTGGTCTCTACTCCAGGACAGCCTCTGAAGAAGTGGCTAAGTTTACTTTTGTGAATCATCTGTCCTGACAAAATGTAAATCTTAGCCAAGGTCATGTTGATGTTCAGAGCCTTTGTTGACTTTTTCTTGTCTCTGTGTTGTAGTCTGGCCTATTCAAAGCAAACAAAAGGATCTGAACTGACATTTTAATGTGATAATATAGCTAAGCAAGAGTACTTTTCTTGCTCTGGTCAGCATTTCCTTCTCACATTTTGTTCAAGTAAACAGTGCTTTGAATTATGACCTCTGAAAAGATACACATACAATTTATCCATCTCTCTGGAAAACATATTTATCTTATAGAAATATAATGTTTTCTATATCATAATCCATATTAAACGAGTATCTGGTAGTTAGAACATTTTGTTCTCATACTTTTTTAGATCTCAATTTGTTGAACTTAAGACTAATTAACATTTATTTATCACTGAAGAATGAAATATGAAATTTAAAATAAGTCAGTTTTAAATACGAGCATGTATTCAGATATTGGGCTATTTCTCTTCCTCTTTCTTATTCCCTGCACCACCAAATTAATTACTTTAGCTGTAGCCATTCAGAAGCGGTATGATTTTTGAAATTAGAGCACAGAAAGGCAAGAATTCAGAAATAACACAGAACGATGGTGTGGTTAAGACTTCAGACAGTGACATATATATAGGTTTTGGACTGCTTTATAGTTAGGTGATGCATTGCGTTAACACTTTTAGCCCTTTTCTTGCTCTGCTTATCTGGTGCTGGCTCCAGAACATTTCATGAATATGGGGAATTAGTTTACTCAAAAGTGAATGTAATAGAGGTAGTGATATCTTTGTCGCTCTTGTGAATTCTAAGTGGGAAAATAAGTTGAGAATGCTGCAAGGATTTTAATATGTTTCAAGTTCCATACCAGTGTTCAGGCTAGAAACCCATGGAAGTTCTGGGTTTATTAGTTTGTACATAAAGAAAGTGCAAAAAGGCGCTATTCTTCTAGAGGTTGCCTTTTTTTTTTCCTTTTTAGAAGTAATGTCAGATTGAAAATGAGATACTAAATTATTTTTCTGATTTCTAGGCCTACAGGGATTTTCCTGGGGTTGGTTATTCGGAAGCTCTGTAATTACTTGATTGGGAAGGTTTGAATATATAGTCTTTCAGTGCCCAGGAGGTAGGTGAATAGGCAAAAAGGATTAACCAGAAGGATTCAGGCCACATTAATGGACTAGGCTGCAGCTGTAATGAATACTCTTCGCCTACTTAAGAGTTATGAAAAATCTTTTATAAATGGAGGCTTCATCTTGACTGAAGCTGGTCTTCAGTGCTAGGCTAGGTGCTATGAAATATACCCGGCCCATCCTGTGGGTCTAGCTTAGGCTCGCTGCTTTGTGCTCCTGCCTTGCACTGTAGTTTTCCTCCATTGTCCTTAACACCTTCTTCCCTGCCCGGCAATACATGCTGTGAAGATCGAGACTTCTATATGCCCTCGTCAGGAGCCTATTCCTAGCCCACAGGGTCTTCGTAAATGTTGCTTGAAAGAATGGAGAAGGCTTACGGTTTCATAGAAAACAAACAAGAAAACAGACATGAAATTGGTAATAATCCAAGCTATCCAAGGGTAGTCTGTGCTCAAATACAAACTAGTACCAGCAATAAGTGCTCATTCAGACATGCCAGGGCCTAAGGGTCCATCATGCACTGGGGTTATAAAAAATGGCTTTAAGAAGATGGAATTTAAAATTAACACTTTATTTAAGGGGCCGATGCTTAAGGAGTTAAGTGAGGAGCTTAGAAAGTAACAACAACCTAAATAGCATCTACTAGGTGCCAGGCACTATTCTAGGTGCTTTACAAGGATTAACTTTTTTTTTTTTAAAAGATTTTATTCATTCATTTGAGAGAGAGAAAGCATGAGTCGGGGGGGGTGGGAGCAGCAGAGGGAGATGAAGAAGCAGACTCTCCGCTGAGCAGGGAGCCCGATGCGGGGCTCGATCCCAGGACCCGAGATCATGACCTGAGCCGAAGGCAGACGCTTAACCGACTGAGCCACCCAGGTGCCCTTACATGGATTAACTCTTAATTCTTGTAACAGCTGTATGAAATAGGCACCGTTACTGGGCCCTTTTTAACAGATGGCACAACTGAGGTAGAGAAAGTTAAACTGTCTGCCCAAGATCACAAAGTATGCAGTGGTGCTGGCGGTTAGACGCAGGTGCCCTGGCTTCAGAGTCTCCTCTCAGCCACCCACTTTGAGGCCTCGCTCCATACCCTGCTATCTCTCCATACCCTGCTGTCTCTCATGAGGTCCTAAGTGTGGCTGTAGTAAGTTTGAACATAACCTTAGCCAGCCTGTCCCAATAAATTTCTCCTGGAACTGTGATTGTTGTTAACTTTTCCTTCTCCAGGGTGGTAATCCAATATTAGCTCGCTTATCGACCAGATGCTCTTGACTTAGAGATATTAATTAGGTACAGGTGCTGCTGCTATTCAGCCAAGTTCACATAAATTGACAGGTAAATAAGAATGTAGTGTTTTAATTAAGTAATTAATTAATTTTTAAAGATTTTATTTTTAAGCAATCTCTACACCCAACATGGGGTTCAAACCCATAACCCAGAGATTAAGAGTCACATGCTCCACCCACTGAGCCAGCCAGGTGCCCCAAGAATGTACTATTTTTCCCCCACCCCACTCCCCTCTAGAACCCTCAGTTTGTTTTTCAGAGTCCATCGTCTCTCATGGTTCGTCTCCCCCTCCGATAAGAATATACTGTTTTAATTACATCATGGAGATACTGTGATTTATAAAATCCTTTGCTCTTTTACATCAAATGCCCATATACAGGGTGCATCTTAGAAAAAAATCCATGAAGTAAGAAATTAACTCTCTAAGACCCTACTTTCAAGCACTGTTCTTTCTACTCTTGGGACCACTATGGCATTCCAGTTCCAATTTGAATGCCACTGGGATCCTGGAGCGGCTCTAGGACAGCAGAGTGATAATACAACACAGAGCCAGGGTTTGGGGAGACTGCTCTGGCTGTGAGGGAAAGGGGTGCTGGGGTCTGTGTTTGGCCAGGGGTGGGAGGCTCGGAAGTTGGTGATGGGGGAGTGGTCCCAGGTGATAAAGGTCTCAACCGGTGGCAGTGAGGAAGGAGAGAAGACGGACTCGGGGACCCAGATAAATACAAACTTTTTATGATCAGAAGCAACTTGTTATGAAGATGACATCTTTGCCTTTCCCCAGCTTTTATACCTCACAGTTTCAGCATCTGAGAGCTGAAAGAATTTTGGAGATGACCCAGCCACCTTTCCTAGCCAAATCACTTAAACCTGCTAAAAATCCATTATCATCTTTCTCTTCCAATCCTTTCACTTCTATTTTTACTCATTTCTATTTCAAACTCTCTTTTTATGTCATTTTTCTATTATAACTCTTCCATCTTTTTTCCCTAGTGTGCTATATTTTATCTAATAGATTTTTTTCTTAATGGCACACACTGCAGCCTCCCCAGTAGCTCACTCTGTCACCATTTGATTAATGCATTGGTCAGTAATTACTCTATCCAACTGAAACCCATGAGTGCCTTTTATTTTCATTTTCAT